GGCCCTTTTAAACCTGAAGAAGAAGGAATGACTCTTAATAATTATACTACTGGAGTCACTGGGCCTCCAATTTGTTTTGGGCAGAAGCCTCACTGCCTAGAAATGGCATTACAATTTTGGGTCAGCAAACATGTTATCAGAAGGACTCCAGCTAGTGTTGGCATAATTCAAGAATTATATATGTTAAGTACTAATCCCTTAAAAAGGAATGTTACTGTTAAAGCTCCAGTTGATATAGAAATGCCTACTTGCAACATGCATAAGTTTAAGGAAATTAAAGATTGGATACATTGGTCAAGGTGTAAGGGAAATAAACAATTTATGTTGTTAAATACATCTTTTGGAGAAGTGTTTGATTGGGCACCACAAGCTGATTTACAAGACACTTCTGATGCCCATTTTCCATTTGATCTTCCTAGAGATCAATTTAGGTATCCTTTAAATAAGAACAAAGTGAGTGTTATTACTTCTAAGGCTACTCGATGGGTGAATGGAGGATTTTCACCCCCTGTGCCTGGCATAATTGGCTATCCTAAACAAAATCATTTATGGAAAGTAGCTGCAGCTTTGCAGCCTCTTAAGGGCTGGACAGGAGGATTGTTTCAACATACTAGTCATACTCCTGCCCTGTTTGAAATGAAATTTGAAGTACAGGATGTGAAATACATTCAGGCCTGTCTTAAATTACCTTTTGTGTGGTTGAAAGGAAACGTTAAGTGGAATAAGATTAATGGAGAATTGTTTTGTCAAAAATGTCAATTGTTTACATGTATTAATAATTCTGTGGGTTTTGATCCAGTCAAGGAACAACTTTATCTTCTAAGAGCTCGAACAGGAGTTTGGATTCCAGTGAATCTCACCAGACCTTGGCAACAATCCCCTGCCTTGACGGTGCTGCAGATGCTGGCTGACCGAATTTTGAAGAGAGGAAAACGGTTTATTGGACTGATCATTGCTGCCATTCTAGGAATTATTGGGGTAACTGCATCTGCTGCCACTGCAGGTGTTGCATTGACACAAGGAATTAAAACGCAGAATTTCGTTTTGCACTGGCATAGACAGAACAGTTATGGACTGCACAAAAACAGATTGACACTGAATTGTATAATGAAATTTCTGATTTAGAGCAAGCTGTTGTAATGTTAGGAGATGAACTTGTAAGTTTAAAGAAACAAATTAGACTTAAATGTGATTGGAATATGACAACTTTTTGTATTACTCCTGTAATGAGACAGAATTTCCTTGGGAAAAGGTTAAAAAGCATTTGTTAAATCATGAAAATTTAACTAAAGAAATTGTTATGTTACAGCATAAAGTATATGCAACTTTTCAAAATAAGCTACAAAAGATAGATGGTGATCAGATCTTAAGAGGCATTGCAGATGGTATTGAACAGATTAATCCAGCTACTAAAATTCAAGGTTTAATTGGAAGTTCTATT